AGACGAAAAGCTTTAGTAACATGCTTCAAACTGTTTGCTTTTTTAAAGCCATTTTTGAATACTTTCCTTAATCAAGATGATTTCTTGAACAAAAAATTTCTTGCAAAATTATTTTGCAACAGGTGTGTCTCATATAACGCCAAAACAATATATTTTTGTTTCAGATATAATCCTAAACTTAATATAGCTAGAAAACGTTTCATGCATCCGAAATAAATAAGAAACTTGTCCTATTAATTAAAATATTAATAAATCTGGTAAAAATGACAAAAATAAAAATAAAAAAAAATTCAAAAATAAAAAAACATAAGATATTAAGACAGTTTAATGGAGATATTAAAATGCATTCCAAAGAAAATATACTAGATAAATGGACCAAACATATTTTGGAAAACTTATTGATTCATTGGTCTGTTCTGCCATTCATACAATAATTGCAGTCTTTTATAACGTTTAGAGCAAAAATTGACAATAAGATTCTATTAAATAAAAACAAAGAGAAATTTAAAGGGAGGGTAAAGATAGTGTAACAATACAAGGACAGTTCCAGGGCACAAATGAAGACATCCTAGAAATTTGAAGATGGTGTTCCATAAATAAGAAAGGCTACAACTATGCTTCAACTTCCAGGACAAAAAAAATTTAGCATGCTGTCTTTCCCCTATCTTGTGCCATCTTCAAAATTTGGTAGTTCAAAAAAGTCTCTGCTGAAATTCTTCCTGATCCTCTTGGAATTCTTTTGTAAGTTTGAGTATGGGCGTTATATATATTGAAAATCTATTACGATAATAAAAAACATATATTATAAGTAGTTTAACTGTCTTTCCTTCTAAATATTTCTAATTCATTATAAAATTACAATTTAATACTAAATGAAATTAGCCATAGTGTGGATGTAAGGAGTAGGGAACTAACCAGCATGAGGGTAGGATGGAAAGAAAAATGCTTGGGTAACATTAGACTAAATTTAATGATCCAAAATCTGAAATGCTTTTTTGATCAAAAATTGAGTGAAAAATTATCTTAGATCAACCTTAATCCAACAGTCCATATATTTACGATGAAAATGAGACACAGTCACTTTGAAAATATTAATGAACAAACAAATAAATTGCTGAACTTACATTTCAACCATGTTAGAAAATATTTACATCAATATTAGAGTTCCATGATGTCCATATTCGGTCATAATTTTTGGTTATCTATCTTAATGAAAAACCAAACTTTATTTACTAAAATGAAATACATTTATAACTTCTAAGCCTATAAGTTAATTACATAATTACAAAAAGATATATTGACAAATTAATTACAAAAATTTTGAAGAAACATCCATTTTTAGCCAATGTGCTCCATTGCCCCCCTCATCTTACACAATGACCCCTCTCATGTGATGTCCTAGACCAAGGGGACATCAAAAACAATTACTCCCATTGAACAACACTTTCAAAAGGTAAAACATGCCCATTTTGTACTAACAACAGACCAAATTCAGTCAAGAAGACTGCAAAATATACTGGCAATATATACCTTTTGTTCTTTCATGCAAGTATAGAATTCTTATGGTCACTGGGCCTTTCCCCCCAGCTAGACCCTCTTCCTCCTGGACACCTTGAAAGACAGGAGACAATGGTTCATCCAATTCAGCAATAATTTCAAAGGGGAAACATGCTTCAACAATAAAAAAGAATCAAACTTTTGCATAATGATTTCATGTTGCAATATGATGATGAGTCATAATGATTGATACTTAACATGGTATTTATCAAACAAAAAGGGATGCAGCTTGATTCACATATGACAATGTAGTATCAATTGTTATGTTTATTGTGATTGTGTCTCAATGATGGTCCAAGTACAAGGACTGCTGGACTTAGGTTTATGTCAGAAGATGGGGGCCTTCTGTAATACTTTCAGCATTCTCTACTCTGTATGTGACCTTTGGCCTTGCACAGTCATTAGGTCATGTTGTTGATCCCATGGTTTTTACGGTACATATTCATACTCTTTTGTTTAATGGCTACACAAGCACCTACTTTCCTTCCCATCCATCCTCATCCTTGTTTGCTCCCTTTTTTGGCTTTTACTCTGTGGATTATTATGCTTACTAATCGTGTGATTCTGTTTTCTGTAAGTTTTAATGTTTTGCTTAATTCCTAATATTTGTATTTATACAATTTTCATTCCTTGATGAGTATCTTACTTAAGCTCAATGATGCATATTCTAAACTGCATTGTGGGCTATGATGCATTTGCAAAGGCATGATGTTGATAAGGAAACTTAAAGATATATTTTATTTGGTCCCATATTGATTAACATGATGGGCACATTAACAGTTTTGTGATGCTATGGAGCTTAGGGAGTTCACACAAGACAATATTATAGATAAGAGAAAAATTAAAAGTGGATGCAATAATTCAGCACCTATTTTGGTGCAGAATTTTAAATAAAAATGCAAGATTTGCTTGCAGCTGAGCAAAAAAAATTTATGAGCATTGCATCCCATACAACATTGAAAATAAAATATCTCCCTGTAATAATGCATATAACATATGCTGAACAAATGGCATTATTCAAATGGCAATTAACTTTATAAAATCATCCATTACAAAGTCTGTAGAATTTTATCAAGCCCAGCTACCACTTAATGGAAATGCACAACTACTGTTCACTACATTTTCAGTCATATGTACTGCTTACTACTTTCTTTTGTATTCGCTGCAGATATATTGGCTTCTCAAACATCCAAAAAAATATTAGATTTCCCCTGGGGTTGGAAGACATGCCATAGAATTTTCTGGCATTTCAATACCCCCATATACATTTCTTGCTATCTGGATTCAGCATTTCCTTAAAGCCATCATTTCACAGAGTAAGCTTTAAGTCTTAAATAGAAACGGAAACGTGCCATCTCTTTTCATCAGACTAATACAACCTTTTGAAGAAATGCATTGAACGCAGGTTCATCTTTTATCTGTTTATATGTTAGAATGAATCTAAAATTTTATAATCATCATTAATCAGGTTGAATTTTTACCAATTCAAACAAAATTTCAGATGCTCCTTAAAAATCTTGTACGAGACTATATAAAAATCTTTGCAATTTGAGCCTCCATAATTCTATTTTTTGTAATTTGACAAATTTTGTTACTCCACTGAGAAAAATAACTTTACTATTTTGAGCCTTTAATCAATTTCAAAGAAATAAGCAGGTGATACAATGTTCTTATGCCAAAAGATCTTCATCATCATCATAATCAAAAATAAATTGAACGACCCATTGCAGGTCGATACAAATGTCTATGCATCTATCGTTTGCTGAAATGGCTTCTACATAGACTGTGAAAGGATTCTAAGTTACACTGATTAACTATGTTATCAGGCAAGCTATTCCAAATGGGTATGATAGAAAAAAAGAATGAAAATTTAACAGCATCAACTCTTCCAAAACTTGGCATAATCTTTTTTAAGTGTGACTCTCTTGTCGTTCTAAAATCTGCCATCTTTGGCATACAGTCAGGCTTTTTTCATTGTTCAGCATGCGAACCAATAAAATTTTGGCCTACGTAAAACTCGATGTAAAACAGAAAGCCACGTACAAAGTTAACTCGTAATTCGCTGTCTCGATTTCCAAACAACATCAAAATATTGGCACACACTAATTTCGATGTGAAGATTCAAATTCTCTGATCCATGCAGACAAAAAGAAAAAAATTGAAAACGAAGTCTCAGATCTAAGAGCATTTACAGTGATTATAGGGATGAAGGCGTTTCAAGGAAAATGGAGGACTTTTGAAAAACTCGTATAAATCGAGCACTCTGTAGCTTAATTCGAACCCCAGAGTGTTTGACTTTGGCTACGCGTACCGTCGCTGCGAGCAACGTTGTTCGAGCTTGTTTATACTTTATAACTTGTATTTATTGTTTGATTCAGCATAACATTAATTTTTAAATGACATTTAACAATTTGGCAAGGGAATGAACTCACCCATAATTTAATTGCAACTGTTTGCTAGATAGCACTTCCATTTTCAGTATTCCTGCTGCTATGTTTCCGCGCCACAATGATAACGCGGGTAAAATTGTACGAAATCGAGGTTACGTGCCTAACAACTGAAATCCAATGTATAAAGCTTTTGAGTGTTGAAGAAATGAAACACTTGAACCTTGAGTTTTAAAGAAAGAAAATAGGATGAAATTTTCAAATTGATTTATCATTGCTTGGATCAATGTTCTGTCTGAGATCAATTATTGTGTCAAAATATTTTTCTTAGCAAGTTGCCTAAGGGAATTTGCGTGGGGTTTAATCACCTAGGGCCAAGTTATTTAATCTCAACTTTTTGAAACTAAATTGACCTTGTCCGTTTCAATCTCTACATGCAAGTTGAACTTCTAGACCAACCTGGGCGTCCTCTGTGAAGTGATTCTTGTCCAAGTCTTTCTGTTACGTGTAAAATTCCATCGTGTAAGTTGAAATCTATAAATAAATATGGGTTTTAAAATACATCTTTTTTTAGTGTTGTCTAAAAAGTTTAGGTGTTTCCACATAGCACAAAAGATTTTTTGGTTTTTTAGCTCTGTCAGAATTTCAAACTTACGCGTAATTTGACAAAATTCTAATAAAAATAAATGCTTAATTTGGTCTAATTTGAAAATAAATTGCTTGCACCGAATTATTTGTTAAAAAGGAAGAAAATATTTCCAGGTGGCTTCTAAATGACTTAAGGTATCTTGTTTGTACAAAACAATCCCTAGCCTCGTAACAAGTTAATCCAGTCGTCAGGCAGAATAGCTCTTAGCTGTTCTACAATTCTATTTGAAAAATTTGACATCGCCAGATTGGTATTTCTTTCCTGGAAACATTCCAGCTAAATGTTATTGAAAGTGATAAGCTAACAAGTCAGTTAACAAAGCATAAAAGAGAAACATCAAAAGATGATTTGGTTTCTGGAATTTGGAAATTGTGAAAGGACAATGATGCAAGAAGTGAAGCTCTTAATGTTTTTGAATCAATAACTATTTCCAATAACTATTTACAAAGGCTATATTGTCAATGTCATACAAAAAGACATTGCTGTTGGTTACTCTAGTAATTGCTCAAGTATCACTACTCTATAATACTTTATTTTTAACAGCATCAACAATTAGACGTGGATTAACATGCTATATTGTCAATACTAAATGCTAATGGCTTGCATATTAGTTTTCGGGATGCAAAGACATTTGTACAATAAGCTGAACTACTCATTTATCTTTGGAGTTTGCAATGGGTTTGAATTTAAGTGAAAAATTGATGGTTTTGCCGTTGTAAAGTTATCAAAATAACAGACATATGTAGTATATATAAATACACACGCCTTTGAAATAGTATATTTAAGTAATCTAGTATGCAATATTTCCATTTTCCTGCGCTATCTTTAAATTTGATATCAGCCCAAAGAGGGAAAACAAGACGAACAAAAAGTACATAGTTTGACAACAAGTGCATAAAAACTATTTGTTTTTGCTGTTTTAGAAAATTATTTTTCCTGTTTAGACATTTTGTAAATCCAAGTATGTCTTTGAACCTGTCTAACAATACCTTGTATCCTGGTTGTTTGAAACTTTAGCCTTTGATCTGAAGGTTTTTGATCATTTGCACCAAAATTAAATAAAAATAAATTTGCCACTGAACTCAAATTCTTCTGTTTCTTCTAAGTACGTTAACAGTTCAGATTCTACCCTATATTAAGTTAATAAAAGATGCACATCTTCTGAATCCGATGAATTATGACAAATAAAAGAGCTCCCGAAGCTAAGAATTTGTAGTGTTAAAAGCGAATACAACTTGGCTTTCTATATGCTAAAACCATTTATGAGAAAATACATTAAATACATTATTGAAAATCGACTTCTACATGTTATACTTTTCTAAAGTTTTTGGAGCAAAGTTAAGACGCGTTAAAACTATCTGATCAGTAAAGATGTAAATTTCGTTTAATATATTTGACAGCAAAGTTAACATTCTAGAATAATCATTTTTTAACTGTCTGGTATCTTTCTTCAAAGTTAAACAAGTGTATTCATTAAATGATTTATTCTAGAATGTTAAACTCTAGTTAAGGAGGTTGGTATAAACTCTTTCTTGAAATTTCGTATCACGATATTGGCTAATGATATTCTGAAGTAAATGAAACATTTGTCACCTGTTATTCTTTGGTTTCTATTAGACCTTATGCAAGGGAATTGCATGCCAGTGATACAAAATAATGGGCTCCTTAAAATTATTAGTTCTTTGATTTTGCGCATAGGCTGATGTTACATAATAAAACTAACAATCATGCTGGCAGAAGATCAACCTCTCATCTGCTAACAATTAAACATTAACAAAGCTAAAACTACTTCTTTAATGACAGATTCCTTCCCCTCGGGAAATTAAAATGCTACATTTAGAATTTAACATATTCATAGCTAGGCTGAAGTCGATTTTGCCTCTTTTATGAATTACCTGATATCTGTCACGTAAATGTCATTTATATTGCTGATCCGTAGCCCCAAGATCCGGGTAAAGGTTGATTATGAAAGTCAGAGCATGGGAGATATTCACTTGGTGGAAGATGGCTGTGCCCATGTCCGGACATTGGTAAATTTCTTGAAGATTGGTACGGACAATACTCAGCAGCTAGGCTTCTTGAAGACAAGGAATGTGATGACAAATAGCCCGGATAGCTCGTTATTGGGCTGCTTTGTGCCATGGTGCTACCGGGTGAGCACTGGTAAGTTGTTCTTGGTAATAAATGGTCATTATTCAAATTTGAAAAGGAACAGGCACTTTTAACCGAAGAGCTCTCGCTAGAGACTCTGATAGGAGCTGCTGGCTTTTTGCTGTTATCAGGTTCTGGTTCAACTGGAGATTTTGTTGGCTGTTCCTTTTTTATCAAGGAAGCTGATGACTCAGGTTCGCGCTTCGTCTTTTGTCTGTGTTTCGCTCGCCGATTCTTGAACCAAACCTTTAATGAAAGTTGAGCAATTAATAATGCCTAAAACATTCAACAAGCAGGTAAAGTTGCAGGATATGACCAGCCTTTTACTTGCTTGACTTCCACTTTTAAATCTTATCTAAACGTTTACTGCAATGTCTTATCTGGCGACAGGTTTGAGGTTTGGTGCCTTTTTCTATGTTCAACCCTATGACCATTCAAAATTAGTTCAAAGTCTATTCCAAAAACGATGCTAGGCACCTAGGGTGGGTCAATAGATGCCAAACGAGACACCCAGGAGGGTTTTGCATTTTAATATACACCCAGCTACTTTTTTGGAGGGTAGGGGCGATTATTTTGTCTAATCGTTTGCGTGCAGGGAGGATTGCTGCGATTTTCTTTGTCTAATCATCGAAAAATAAGCTAGTTTCGAAAAAGCATAAAAACAACATTATCATTCCAAAGCAATAAAAGTTCCACCTTGTTAGCTTTATCCAAAGTTTAGCAAGCCAAGAGATCTTTTAAAACATAGTTGTTCTACCCAGTCAGATGTGTTAAAAATAATTTCCTTGTTTACCTGAACTCTTGATTCGGGCAAATTGATTCTTCTTGCTACTTCTTCCCTCATGAAAACGTCTGGGTACTGTGTCTCCGAAAATAGCTCCTCCAGTATTTCTAACTGAGTTTTGGTGAAAGTTGTTCTCTCTCTACGTTGCTTTCTAGGTATTCCTGAAAGTGGATGCCAATTTGTTTGCAATTAGTAGGGAAAATAACAATTTATTCTTGATTCCATAAACATATGGACAAAATTATTACTGTCATTAAACTGTCATCAACTACAGAGAGTTACATAGATGATATTTGGCACCAATAAAATCTTGGCAGTTTCGTATGCTAGGGAATTCTACTCATAGATTCGATGTGTATTTACAGAATGTTTGGTCTGTATTTACAGAATGTATGCAGAAGTAGCCCATAGTTATAGCATTACAAATAAGACGAAAAAGTCCATAAGAATGCAGTCGAATATGATGGCTGAATCTCAACTCAGGCAAATACGTTTTAAGATCATTCATGCTTTTTCAGCATCCCAAAAAAACCTGTCAAAAATTTTTAAATATCACTTGAATTACTTTACATTAAAACTGTCATTATAAATATTTGCCCAATTAACTAAAAAGTGAACCCGATTGGGATCTTTAATCGCAAAAAGTCATCTACGTATGACCGTCTTTTCACGATTTAAGACCATGAATGCCAAAATTACTCGTAAAGTTGTCAATCGTTTGCATAGTTGTTTACATGTTCCCGTTCTTAAAACTTTGCGTGTTACATACATGTCGCAGACTATCGTAAATTCTTTAGCATCTTTATCCTTTTCGACTTTCTGAGGCACAAAGGAGATTGAAAGTGGACAGCGCAAAAGGACATCAAGGAAAGAGGATTTAGAAGATTAAATTCTGAATCTACTCAGATGTAGGGATATCGATTACAGGTCCATCAAAGAGTTTGTCTCCAGATTACGTCTCATAACAACAGGTTGAAGCCAGTCTTAAATGACAAGTATTCTTTATCAGCGTTTTCATAGACCCAGAATTTTTAGAAGATGAGCTTAGTATTACTTTAAAGACGCACATGCAATGTTTATAGCTTGGGAAAAAGCTGATTATACATAATATTACACACACGTTTATGTGTTTTCCCCTTGAGCTTTCCATATTTTCGATGTGTGTGAATAACTGCGGTTTTGCGATTATGAAAATCTGTGAATGTCCTTTTCTTCTCAACTTATTGGATATGTTTGTTAAGAGAATGGAAAGCATACGTAATCAATAAAATGGAATTTCTAATGTCTAACAAGCTCGACAACAGCTAAGTAGGATGAGTTATCTAAACACTTTAAGTCGTAGTTTATGCCCTAATATTGCGAGCACGATGAATACAACTTATTTAAAGAGCTTTCGTCGACAACAAAAGACAACCGAATTAAAAACACGATATTCGATACATCTTGAAAAGCAGCGTACGGCGACTCGAGACACCTAAGCAGAAAAGATGTGACCAGCTTTGTTTTGCCATAATGAACGTTAACGTAATGTGTGGGATTCCGCGGGAGTGGTCAGGAAACGATTTTCCTTAAGAAAGCCTTATCGGATGTCTCTAATACCCATGTCAGTTTGTCCCAAGACTTCAATATTGTGTAGAAAGAATATGAATACCGTTAATAGAGATGATGAGCAAATTAGCAATGTACTTGTCTTTACATGACTATTTAGGCTAGTATTCTCGAAATATTTTTACTTTTTATAATATTTTAAGTTATGGTTTGCCTGTGACTTTCTACTTCAATCTTACTCAATCTTACAAAACAAAACACCAAAAATCTACTAATTTCTTAAGACGATGAGTTTTAGCAATTTCTGTTTACATATCTAGTTTTGTTTTGAAAGTCTAGGATCTTGACAAGAGCGTTTCTATTAGATTCTAATGAGTATGTCTCAAATATATGTGAAACTACATTTTAGTATCGTTATCAACACACAAATATTGTTGTTTTACTACAGAACTTTGCACATTCTCGCCAGCAAGTCGATTGTTCATGGGTTCTGCAAATGGTAACTTCAAATTTTCAGACAGTTGATTTTCCACATATCATGTAAGGTATTGTCTATAGGGAAGAAAATTACGTTCTAGCAATTTCCCTCGGCATTGTTCTAGCAATGTTGCAAAGTATATATTATTTAGAGGGACAAGAGCTTGCAAATATAGTTTCAGCTTTTTTTGACGAGCGGATTCTAGGCTTCTTTGAAACGTAAATTCAAGTTTACATACCCTCTTTTCTTCAGATCTTTTATGAAAATCAAAGTAATCAAGTGCGTCGTTGAAGAAAGTAGAGGTAGAAAAGTACTAAGATTGACGTTTTTCAACATCACTTTGAAAAAACTATCCAACCTGATGTCAAATCGCAGGACTTTATAACTCTGCAATAGTTTAAACCAACTTACCGTATAATGGGTTAAATCCATAGTGTGAGCTGAAGCCAGTGTGATATGGAAGATGGGGTAAGTGGTAAGCAGGAACGCTGTTGTAATGCCAGGCCATAGTATTTCTACTTCGGAGATCCAGAGTGAAAGATTTCTGCAACAATAACAAATACAGACTATAGAGAAGTTCCTGAGATACATTTCGCACTTTAACCTAGGTTTTTCACCTTTTCAATGTGGTTAAATAAATCAAAGCACTCTGCTCATATATGAATTGCTTGACATTTGAACCGCTAGGCTAGCAATCTGTGAATACGAATGAAAAGGCCTTTGCTACTTATTAACACGTTGAATTTGGTGTAATTTAAATGTAAAGTTTTGGAAAAAGTTAATCAAATCTAACCTTGATAAATAAACATTTTGATAACATTTAAATAAACATTTAATTTCAAGGAATCACTAAATTATAGAAGCAACTCGTGTTTTCTTAGGTTTGAGAAACGAAAATTTCCAGCATGGGGAACAGTGTTTAAAGAAATAGCAAAAATGCAGGGCGAGAAGTCGTTAAGGAAAACATTTTGGATTTGATGAACTTTTTTAAATACCCTACAATCATTTTAAGAGCGAGTCCAGACTATCAGGTAAGAATAATATAAAATATCGCAATTTTCATCGTCATTTTAAGCAAAGCAGCGAACGTCTTTTATAAATGCTTGAAGATATTACTTAACTCATTTGTTTAACTAGCAAAAATATCTCAATATTAATAAATTTCTTTCTTTGGAAACACGATAAAGCATCTGGCTGCCAAAAAATTTTGTTTGGTAGATTTTTTTCTCAAAGCACACCTATCCAGGTATCTTTTGCACATGAGACAGCTATTACGATTTAAATTTCATGATTCCAAAGTTAGAGCGTATCATTTGACAATAAACCTGGTAGCAAATGGTTGTACGAGATGTAAATTTGAGTTGCTTGCCTGTGTAAACATTGCCGCTTTTATACTAACTTGAAAATTTGCTCATTGTATTATAAATGAGCCAAAATGTTTCGTTGGGTACTGAACGGAAAGTTTTCAGTATCTTTATTGTCAACTAATATTTAATTAATATATCAATATTTATTATCTATAGCTAACAGCTACTGTAATTTTTGTGTTTTGAGGGTAATTCAAACATCACCAACAACGTTTGCATCCATTACTCGTTGAAAGCTTTGAAGATTTCTTAAATTTATCAGATTTCTTAAAACGCGCCATAAATTTCCTCGGCGATGAAAAAAATAACGAATAATTGACTTTTCAGAAGTTGAAATGGATTGACGGCTTGACAGGCATGACGGGCAACGCTTTTAGCTCTGCCATCTTGATATGAATTTGTTAAGTATAACGTCTGAAAGTTTTCAAATTCTCATTTTGCTACACTCTTAGTCAAACGATGATGAAACTTGTAAGCCCCTTCCCGTGCTCAAAGCTGCTACGTCTTCTGTTAAATGGCCTTATTTTAACTGGAGGAGCGGGTTGATCTTGGAATATATACATATTAGCCATGTCTTGAGGCCAACTCTAAATAGCTGTGTTTAAAATTGCAGATCAAAAAGCCGTGCTAAACCAAATAGAGGTTTCTAAAAATTACTTTTAGTCTATTTTAAATGCTTTAAAATAATTCGAACTCGAAAATCATGCGTGATTTGATAATATTGATAAAAGGAATTAGAACTTGTTTATGGCTAGAATTTGACTTGTTATGATTTTCTATTTGAAGAATGACAATTTCGACACGTTTACAGAGATGTAGCTAGCTACTTTCTGTAAGCAAACTTTTATATATTAAGATAACAGCGATCATCTTGATGATTTTTTCAATATGTTTGAATGACAAAAATGCAATAAATTCTAAATGTAAATTCTTTGTACAAATAATCGTTGTGATAGATAAGGCATGTTTTGGCTTAAAGTTAAAAAAATCAAGCAAATCGTTTTTGATGAAAAAAGCATTATTGCTTCTATCGATTATCGAAACTGATAAGCTCATATCACTAGCGAGATTATCAATTACCCTGTTTAGAAAGAGCTGAACATAGACACTTAAAGGCATGTCTAATTCTCTTTACTAAAGCCACATAAAAAGAATGACATATCGCGGAAATATTTCAGTAAATGTCTTAGAGACAACAGCGTAACATGGATACTGTATTGTAAGCTATGAAAAGAAAGTAGTATTTTCATAGGGTACTTCATAATTTTGCATAAACGAGGAATTTATAGAAGTTCTTAGAAACTGAAAATCACGTAAAACTATCTTGAGCGCATAGTTGAGATGGTTTGGTAGCAATACCAATAAAACTAAAAATGACATTTTCTGCTCGTTTACATCGCGCAACAACACTGGTTTGTTTTCAACTGGCCATGGCTGGACAAAACATTTGAATACTGATATACATATATATTATTCGTCGGCAACTAACTTGCTTGCTTTCTTTGCTTTCAAATCCTCTAATTCATTTCAGATTTTTGAAAAATCCTAACTCGAAGCTACAAAATGCATGACTTATACGAGATTTTTGCTGATTCAAAAAAAGGAATAAGTATGTCACAATTGACGAAACATTTTACCATGATCACTTGAAGAAATTCTTATTAGAAAACAACCACCCACACCCACAACACATGATGTTTAATTCTGACATTGAAAACAACAATCTTACGTTAGCAACTTTAGCACCATGATAAACATTTCAAGTTTCCTTTACTTTACAATATCAGAGCATGCCTTTATTGCTCATACAAAACTCAATTTAACTTAAAATGTTAAGGCTTTTTAAGATTTAAAAGATGTTACCAAAGATTAATGAAAAAGCAATTCGAACGATAATAGTTAACTATTTTCTTTTAACATTCTCCTCATAATTTTCAGAAAGATCAAATTCTTGTTTAGCAGATACTCAACAGACATCTCAAATACCCATCTTTCACCATCTTTTTAAATAACATGCTACAGTAAATGGTTTATTTTGGGTTTTACCAGCACACATACCTTCGAACACGCTTGCGAGTCAATGTCATTTCAACATTCACTTAAAAAGACGATGGTTGAAAGGCAAGTATCCAATCTTTTGTCATGGCACAAAGGATGAGGAGGATAACACCGATAGCATCTTTAACTTACCGTTGAAACAAATACTCTTTACAGCCTTAGTAGCAACACTAAACAACCAAGATGCTATGATTTTCAAGCTTCTTGTTGATTAGCCTAAGAAAGCACCTTTGTTTTGTCCTTTAGCTGGCTAGCACTTGAGGAACTTCTAGACGATCGAATCAAATGGACTATTTGCAGATGTAATGCTCTTCTTCTGTACCTAAAACCATTTACACGCTGAAAGAAGCGGATGCTCTGCGCTGTACTTTGCTAAGTTGATCCTCTTTATGCGTATCATTTTAAAAGCCAACGGCAAAACAAAGCCATCTCGGATATCTTATTCACGCATTTATTTATCGAAGCTTAGGCGACAAGAGGTGATTAGCTATATCTCTATATAAAAGTGATTGTTGGCGTAAACTTACTGTTTCAGTTTCGATTGGAATCTCGTTTCTTGCTTGGTACCAAGGATAATCAAGCCCTAAAACAAAACCAATCTTTTTACTCAACTCCTTGCAAATCGGCTATTCAAAGAAAAAGATTCTATAAAAATGTATAGCTCAGCGTCTGCTACTTTAAGAATAATATACCGGCTAATCGCAATAAATTGATCATTATTGCAAACAACTTTAGTACTAAAATTCTAAATCTTTAAGATATTTTGGGTTAATCTTCATGGTGGGCGATAGGATCCATCGGAAAACTTTGTGAGGGCCTGATAATCCAATATTTATCAAAAAAGGATTCAGATGTGCGAAGAACATAACATGTTCATTTCTTGGGGCTGTCTGAAGCCAAAAATTCGCTCGTCAATTTTCCAAAGCAACTGCGGCGATTAGGAAAGGAGGAATTAAGGCTTAAGAAAATCAAAGTTTGTAATTATGTGTCTTAAGATAAGTCTCAAACTAATTGCAAAGAAGCAAATTTTCAGATAAACCCTTTTATCAAATCGCACTAGAGATTTGATAGTTTACTAATAGTAATTTTAAATCTATGTGTAAGCTATAAATATAGATAAGGTTAGAAAAAATCATCCGTTGCATAACTGCCTTTTCCTGAGCACAGCTTTCTAAAGATAAGCAAAGTCTTAAAAAATGATAAAATACTGAGTAAAATTATAAATGGATTATGATCAAGATTTGCTATTCTCTTGGCCATTTTCCTTTCATGTTTTTTTTCACATAAAACTTCTATGTAGAAGATAAATGTTGAAATTTAGTATAAATGACCCTGTATCTACAAACCCTGAATATCTTCATAAGTTGCCAACTAAAGCTACAGCATATACTGTTTAGTTTTATAATATTCTTCTCCTATTTTTGAGTTTATATTTGCGGAAATTGCGGATATAACACACAAAAAACAGTTCATGAACATATTACAGATGACTAGCTAGCCTAAAATTTGGAAATCCAGACCTTTAGCAAAGCAGATGATGCAGCAGAAGAACTATGTTCTTAGACGGAGTATGTAAATGCCATCAGCAAGCACTTAACACGGTTAACTTTTGATTTGTTGACTGCATTAAGCGTGAAACTACTCAAAGTAGTGACTTTGAACCGCCTTGTTTTATACACTTATTTCGCGCCCCCGTTTTGCCGATACTGCATCAAGCACTTAATGGCAAACCAAAAACAGTAATTTGCAAAACGTTTGACTTGAAGTATCAAAACTTCAAAGTTAGGTTTTTCAAATTTTATTCCATTTTGTTATTCCATGGAGATAAAAATGCATCACAAGCAAGGTAATAGACATTGTACTGATAAAGATATAGACGTGGCACTGGGTAACTTGACAAAGCTGGTATATGTTCCTATGAAAAGTGGGACATTCATTCTCACCTGTGTTTCTAAAATGGAAAATAGTCTAAAAACAGACATCAAAAGAAGTTGTTAAACAAATTATACCGATTGCTCAAGTGAAAAGAGTCTGAAGTTGTTGCCAACATGAAGTGTCTTTAGAAAAGTTTTTTTAGAAAAAGATAGAAATAATGAGTAGTTCAAGAAAGTTAGCCCACGTGCAGACTGTTGACAAAACGAAGAGAGGAGATAATAGGGAAGGTTGGCTGAATGCTTGAATCAAAAGTTTAAAATGACTGATGTTTTTGTAAAATTAACTGGGAAAAAATAACGTCGGTAGCTTAAAAACAATCAAGAAAAATTCCATATTATTATAGGTAAACTTTTTCGATCCTTCAAGAAATGTTTGTTGGCTATTGAAGAAACGTTACACAAACAGTTAAGAGAACATAAAAACCTTTTCGTTTTTTGAAATGAAATCTGAACACATCATAGAGAATACTCTCTGTGAAAATAATATCTAAAAATGTTGTTTTTTTATTCTCTCTATTGCATAGTTAACAATTACAAGGACGAATGAACTTAATAGTCAACTTGATTTCTCTTGCTGTTTCCTTCGTGATAAAAATTGGCTGTTATTAAAGTTCGCATCAACTTGATTTCTCTTGCTGTTTCCCTCGTGATAAAAATTGGCTGTTATTATATTTCGCATTTTGAATTGCAATGTCACGATATTACCATTATTGTATATTTCATGGAAGTTGTGAAAATGAATGATTTTCAACCAAGAAACTTTAAGTAAACAACATATAATTATAAAGGCTTATACCAGACGAGTTTGAAACAGACATTTGCTTTCATCTTAGTACAATTGCAATGGAAATCATTTGCAAAGTTTCCAGATAAATTTCAGTTAGTAATATCAAATTATTAGAAATTTTGCTACGTTTCTTAAAACTATTCAAGCACGTTTTTTAGTAAGAAGCCCAATAAATTTCTGGCTAAAACTTATCTTTAGAAATAACAGAGCTACGGAATTTCAGATAATGAATTGAATGGAATGAGTACACATATTTTTAGATCACATTTTCTCATAGAGGGTTCTCTATGATATGCACAGATTTCTTCGAGATAAACAGATTGGTTTTACTAGTTTCTTGTCAATGCTGCAAGTGCACTGACTCAGGAACAGAAAATGTGTAGGATTGTACCAAAAATATGACAACGAGCAATGGAAAGACCAGCAAGGATTATGTTTGCTTCATTCTACCAATTAAGGCTAAGTTTGCCCATTTTTAGATATAGAAATTGAATTAATGTAGATTTAAAATTCAGTTGTGCTTAAAAACGCTGATTTTTTTGCATTAAGTAAATATTATTGAGAATTCACCTTCTTCGACGCTGTTAGAGATTCTTAATGAATCAGTGAAGAAAATTGCTCATACTTTTTCCAATAATCGCGTTTTCGATCCATGAATTCAACAGAAGACACGACAATACATAATCAAAAGAGAGATAAATACACATCGTGCCGTATCGACTAGAGGCACAGTGTTGCAGGATATGGTCACCCTGTTCACTTCTAAGATGCCACTTGACAAAATTGGCATAACGGCAAGTATCATATGAAAAGTGCAGCGTAGGGATTTAAGAATGCTTTCGTTTGCTAAAAGGCAAAGAGATTAGCTATCTTGTGACAATATGACTTCAGGGTCATACATAACCATGAATGTATCGTGGTTTAACAAGACTAGGCTGTTTATAAATTAATGCTTCGTTGGGTGGTTTGCTGCATCTAATTCACTTAATTAAACAGCTTTGACACACGCGGGAAGACCTATTGTTGGTGAGCATAGAGAAAAGAACCGCGTTTTGCATGTAATTTTTGCCTCAGGCTGCCTATTAATTGGACGCAAGAAGCAATAGATTTTGCATATTGAAATTTTATCTGATGAGAAAGCTCTAGAATTGGCCTTCTATCCCTTCATACCCCAGCCACTTCACAAAAATTGTTGATTTGATAACTGCTAAGCAGACTTTGGCTTAAAATCTACCTAGAATAAAGCCTGGTAACTGAATCCGGATTTTCTAAAACAGCCTTTTTGAACAGGCCAGGCATACATCTTTGTAAAATGTTTTAATGTCATAAATTGATTTCACAGATACATAGCCTTCATTCTATTCCTGCTTTCTTTCAACAGTTATAAAATGTAAATTACAAAACGTTTTTTAAGGCAAAGTAAATCTTATATGCAGTTTTAGATTATTTCTAGAAAACATGAGTATTCTATTGTCTAGTTTCGATGCAATTCTAAGATAAATAAATTTCAATAGCCGTGTCCTTGCTTCTTGTTCTAAAGCCTTGATTTACTCTACCTAAAAACTGTGAAAACTAAGCGTTATTTGCAGTTATCATTCATTTTTAAAATCATTTTCAAAAGACATTAAAAGCTGTTAATGCTGATTGACCAATGTGTACAATGTAATTTTTTACTGCTTAACTGCTTAATCCTTGTTTGATTGGGCTATTTTGCATAGGAATATCTTAGCTACAGAGGTGACATCCAGCGTTCAAGAAGATAAAGACTCAAAGTTAGAACTACGTTTGCAAAGAAAGAAAGTATTCAAATTTGTTTCGGTACTAGGGTCTAATCTCTTCTCTTAGCATCAAACCTTAGTCAATACAGCACAAATTCTAATGCTTCATTTATTTTAATCTGAGAAATAATGATATCTTTGTAACTATTTGTAGCCAGCCTAGAAAGCACTGAAGGTAAGGGACAGAAAAAAATGAGGGTTTTAGGTCAGGACGAAAATAGAAAGAAAGGAAAAATAAAGCATCGCGATATAAGGCCATCAAGTATCAGATCAAGATAGAGCAGAAGGGAAGAGAGAAACACAGAGAAGAAAAAAATAAGGCAGAAAACGAGTGCAGACAAGAAGAGACAAAATTACGTTACAAAGAGCAGCAATCACAAGACCGTACGAAAAGAGAACAGAAGAGGACAGAAGAGGACAGAAGAGGACAGAAGGGAACAGAGGGGAACAGAGGGGAACAGAAGAGAACAGAAGACAACAGAAGGGAACAGAAGGGAACAGAAGGGAACAGAAGGGAACAGAAGGGAACAGAAGAGAACAGAAGAGAACAGAAGAGAACAGAAGAGAACAGAAGGGAACAGAAGGGAACAGAAGAGAACAGTAGAGAACAGAAGAGAACAGAAGAGAACAGAAGAGAACAGAAGAGAAGAACAGAAGAGAAAAGAACAGATCAGAAAAGAACAGATAAGAAGAAAACAGAAAAGAAAAGGAGAGAAATGAAATGGAGGGGATAGAAAAGGAGAGAAAAACAAGATCAAAGGTAGCAGAACAGAGCAGAGCAGAACAAATAATAATAGGCAAGATAAAATTAAAACCTACTTTTGAGAGGGTTTACAAACGATTTCAGTTCTTTTACCTTGCAGCCAAGTGTTATAAAGAAATCAGCTGCAAGAAAATTTACTAATATTAGCGTAATTGAGGCAGTATTGGGCCAATATGAAGTAGTGGTTGAGATACATCTTTATTGACAATTCACTGTTAGCATTCTTACATATCATACATTATATAGTGATATTTTCAATATTCGTTATACTGTTCTAAAAAGAAACAAGGAACACGAAACAAGAAGAAAACTCTAGCAACAAAACGATTTTCAACTGTGAGTATGTGGATGAGCATATGTAGGTACAATTCATGCATAACATACACTGAGGTATTCTGTATTTTGATTTGAAGCTTTTTTGTAGCACGTTTTGAATAGTAAAAAACATACGTCTTCTAGGCAAATCTAAAGCTTCATATCAAATTAGTTTTGCTATTGATAATTGCAATAATGCATGGCACTGACTGTGGCAAAAAACTAAAGAAATAACATGCTATACGTATTGGTTTTTTCATTTCAGATAAAGATGCTTCACAGCAGAAATGTAAAACTACGTTTATGCAGACTATGTGTAGTGAGATCCCATTTTAGCTGCAATAGAAGTTTAAAACTGTAAATCTTTGCTTGACATGAATAACATGAAGTAAAAGAAGCATACAGCAAATTATAGATTGTTCCTAGCTTACTATTCCTCAAAGACTCTTGTATGCGATTCATACACTATGCTGAACAACGCAACATTGGACGTTACGAACTTTGCATTCAACAAAAGATCATAAAATGTTTGATTTAGTATTTACATAATCTCTCCTCAAGTTAATTCTTTTAAGTATGTTTCAGACCTCACCTTTATCATATCTTTCCTCGATTCATGTCTCGCGTTTAGTCTCTTTGGAGAGACAGAAATTTCATAACTCAGGTAAAGCTAAGGGGAAGCTACAACCTCTAAAATAGGCCATGGAGGCACGAGAAGAAACTTCTAAAATACCGCCCCTCATCAGACTTTGTAAAGAGAAATCCTTGATAGATAATCACAAATCTAGGACTAAAAGTGGAGATTTTGTAGAATAAACTGCGCTGCTATCTTAAATCAGCCTAACTATTCCCTGTAAAGAACAATGGTGTAGCTTGTTGCCACACCATCAGCTGAGATGAAAAGGGCGCTTACCAGAAACGAGAAAACCATCGCAATAATACGTCGTTACATTTTACATTGTTTCAAACACTTCCAAGTCAACATCAGCACGTTTCGTATCAGGTACAATATCCATGAGACAAGACATGAGAAGTACTGCGCGCCACGATAACTTGAATTGTCGGTCACGCACTGAGCTTGCGCAACATGTTATGAATTAAACAGCTATACTTACAACTCTTCTACCTCTAAAACATAGTAAGCGCGTCTTCGTGGAGCTATTTCTAACCGTGTTGCAAATTCATAGAGAACGATTACTGACTATTGCGTCTCTTCCAGCAGTGGCGTCTCGGCAAGCAACCAAAGATTATATGAATGTAGAGGATTGTGTTAGCTTCATCACTTAAGCAGAGAAAATGAGAAACAGGAGCAATAAGGCCGCCTTGCTTATTGGATAATAGTCGGTTTCAGACTGATTACAAGCTTGGGTGTTTGAAATAGCATTGTTACGTTAAGAACTTATGTGCCTTCAGAGATGTCTTCGGCACAGTCTAATCAGGGAAAAAGCGCCTTAATTCCACTGTTTCCTTTTCAAGTTGTAAGCTCAGTATAATGAGATAATAAAGAAGAGGACAGAGCTAACAATAGTTGAATCTCTAGAAATGCCCATAGGCCGACACGTGTGGGTATTGAAAAATGTCGAAAAACAAATGAATTCGTTCAATAATTCATGTTTGGTAATAGATCTGTAGTTAAACTCATAAGTAACATGGATATCTCTTAACAGAGATGTATATTCGATACAAGTATGACCTGAATAGCTGCAAATCGACGTTTTCTGTGAAAGGGTTTGCTCAAACCATTTACTTCAATGTCTATATTTGTTTACGACACAGAATCAGCTTTCATGCAAACTAATTGGGTGCAATCTGTCTGGAGTTTGTTGCAAACATAGCTTAAATGGCAACAGGAAAGATATTTTAGGTATGATGATGCAACGAGTAAAAGCATATCATCTACATATATTAATTTGTATTCCTTTCTTACTTTTAATAAGAATGAAATGAGATAAAACATTTCCTCAAATAATTTCAAAATTTCAAGGAAGTACTTACAGTAGCTAGTAGCAAGGTCTAGGTCTAAGACGTGCCTAACTATTCCGAATGACATTTTCTATGAGACAATGTTGAAACATATTGAAACAAATCAATTTAAAAGATTTAGAAGAAAACCACTACCTTTGAAATTAGAAGGCAAAAATAATAGATTACTTATTGGCCAGCAGTCAATTTTGCAGCTATTTTTGAATGATGAAGGAAGACAAAATAATCATAAAAAACAGAACTCTTTTGAGACAAAACATTTCAGACTTAGAGACAGATTTTCTATCATCCTCTAGGGACAGCGACCAAAATGACACATATTTGTAAACAATCTCCTACTGTAATTTTCAGGTAATAAGTAAACTTTTTTGAAGGAAGACATTGTAATTAAAATATTTTAACATATTTGACATACAAATAAGTGGCAAGTTGATAATTCTCTCTTACATTGCGGTACTGCACAGTGTTCTTATCTGATCTTGCATCACCTAATGAACACTATGCTGCCGTCAATGTACATTGTTTCACTCTTTTCAAATGCAGGGTTTCAATTTACCATCCAATGATTTGTCTCTTTTCTTTGTGTTACCATGTCTCGCTGAACTGATCGAAATAATGGAAAACGGGGACTTTGGAAGACTTAAGAAGATGCTTAAAACCACAAAAGTCTTATGACGGCTCTTCTTTTTTGCGGAACAGGCGTATTCCTTTCCATCAATTACCTCTCCTGCATGTCGGCCTTTTGGAGGTGTAATTCCATTACTAGGTCGCTAATTTCGAAGCCATGTTACTTCTTGACCTAGTCAGGCCTGAGACAACATAGATTTTCAAGACTTAACGTAATGAAAAATTCTATCTTACCCTCATTAACTGCAGAAAGAGATTTTTGAAATAGCAAGTAAGGAGTAAATAGGTCAAGCGCGAGCAATTTTTATAGCAAATGGTTAGCGTATTGTCAATTGTTATCATTATTTCTGTAGCATTGGAGTATAAGTAATGCTATTTGATATTGTGAAATCGATACCTGAAGCAGCATTGCATGCAAAGAACGGATTCTGATAAAAATTTGCAATTCAATAGTGCAACACTATAAGACATACATCAACTGAGACAAGCTTACTGTGTAATGTGATAATTATCACGGTGCTAAATCCAAAGCTGAATGATGATTTCAGGCACTGCTTATGGTTCAGTTCTAGATTTCATAAGCAACAATTGCCCGAAGAGAAAAAAGGACTTGATGTTTTAGAATTAAGCAAACTAGTCTCTATATGACAACTTAAATCACAGCAGAGTTTCCATTCTCTTTTCTTGTTATGCAGAGAGCTACCACAAAATTTAGGCATTTCTTGAATGTTTCAAGTAGTGCGATTTGATAAATGGGTCAGTCATCAGCTGCTTGTATCAGAGAGGCTATCGTAAACGCCTTTTGAACATTGGTAGAACAACGAAATAAATTCCAACCTTCTATGGTAAGGACTGAAATGTACGGAAAGTACGCATAGCGCTGAATAATTGGCAACAAATGTTAAACCAAGAACCTTCGAAAAAGTTTAACATGAATATGACCATATGAAGAAGCCTATAGAGAATTATTTGTGAACCACTTGTAGATTCCTTACAATTATTGGCAGCAAAAGTAACTGTAATGTATTGCATTTATGTCACATCTAGGAACTGGAGACAAAAAAGAATGAAATCATTATATGTAAAAGTTTCTTTACACCATTCTTAGTTTGCGTGAAATCGAACAAGTAATGTTTTTAGAGGAATAGGTTGTAAGAAAATCGAGTTATTTCAATTTTATTTTTAAGAAGATAATTTTTTGCTAGGCTAGTTTTATAAAATTCAGCGCCGTAAAGATAGAGCTTTATACTGACACATTGGCGTGTAGAACAGGAAGATTCTAAATTGCAACTGTGAATTCTATCTTCTGTTGAATAAGCAAACTCCAATTTTCACTGTAAAAACATTTCACGCGAGGTTCTTCCTAGAGAAATAAAAGCTCTGCTGAAATTCTTCGTTGATCCCTTTTATCTAAACCATTTTTAGAATCAGAGCAAAATAAAAAAAATAGAGTTGTCACTGGTACTTCACGAAAAAAGAAAAATCGAAAGTTGCCAAAAGAAAGTTGAATTTAAGATATTTTTCCACGTAATGCAAGGAGAAGGGAATATTTGGGAATAAATAACATTTCAGGACAATGGATTTTGCTTTATGATGTTTTCCATGAGCTTGTATTTGATTGTATTTCCCATACCAGTTTAACGCCCAGCTAAGGAGCCAAACAAGCCAAAAGTCAGTTGTTTGAAAAGATGCCATTGTAAAGCTTGAAGTTAAAAAGACCTGCTCCACTAAAGGCCCTGGGCACATTCAGGAATGCGAGATTTGTCACCAGCTGTTTTTCAAGAGGCTAGGTTAGTCTTTTTTGCGAGTGATGAAATATATTTGCGAAAAAGGTTGAAGACATCATTTTTCTTCACAGAAACCTTTGTTGAGAAATTTCGCGAAGATTTAGTGCGGATGAGGAAAAAACTTTAGTGCAGATGAGGAAACAAGTTTTTTTGAATTTTGACATCCTGCATATGACATCTTTCGGGAGATATTTTTTCCTTTGCAAATAAGTTATCTTGGCCTGCAGAAAAATGTTGATGACGTGAATCCGCCTTCTACAAAGTGCCTAGGGCCACAGTGTAGAGGAGATTGCTTTGTTATTTTTAGCTATATCCGTAGGTGACAACTTAATTGATACGTAAATTACCATCAACTGTGTATCGCAATAAGATATTTGAGTTGAAATGAGCTCATTAAAAAGAATTAAGAAGAAAGCGTGGACGTACAGTCCTAACTTGGTCACCATGCATTTTATTGCATTCTAGCTGTCAATTTTGTTCTAGTCGATAAAGCCCAAATATCAACTAGACTTTTTTTTATTGTGATTTAATAAAAACAGCAAAAAAGGAATCAGCAAAAAAATTCAAGATATTTGATATAACGAGTTCTACACTACACGTTCAACTGTTATATTTTTCAAACTGTGGCGAATTCATCAAATGCATCTGTCTGCATGAGCAGACTCTAATGCTAATTATTATCCGCTCGTAACTTGTTCATGTGTCATGTAAACATGGCCTAAATATCATATATACATTTTCAAATAAAAAACGCTATCCCTAGCAAAAAAGGCCATTTTCAGGCACAAATAAGCACAGTTTGGATAAACAACTTACTATAGAAATTGCTTTTGAACTAGTTGGACAGGACCTTTCTTTATTTTAAGATAGAACAGCGCTACAGCCTTTGAAAAAAACAAAGTTTTGATGAATTATCGCTGACATCTGAGTCTCCTCTGCATACACGACCGATTTAATTGACTTTACTGCTTAAATAAGGAATCTTGTTACATAATGCAATTATCTTGTTGTTGCAAAAATGATTATTGTAATTGTATGGTCTGTAGCCTAAGTAACCAAATAATCAGACTCTGAATCCATCTTCATCAATACACGTAACCCTGGCAGTATCTATTTACGAAAGCAATTACGACACAGCACAATCTGCCTTGCTTTCTTCCGAGGACACAAAAATAGACTAACAACCAGATTTCACACCAATTCGACTGGCCAATCAACCATATCTATAAGTTGAAACTCTTACAACTAGCTTCTTGTTAATATCATTATGCAAAACGTACTTTTGAGTTTTCAATACATTTTGCAAACTGTTATGCTACATATTCCCAACAATTTTTTTAATCATATAAAGGTTAGATATATTCTGGTTTACAAAATATTTTAGAAAAATATGGTAATAGGATTGATTTTCATCACTTTCTTTTCTCTCTTTGAGATGATTGTCTGTTGTGTATTTGTCGCAAACTTACTTATCAAATTTACCTTTATATATGATAAAAAAAGTTATTTATCGCGAAAAATATTTATACTACATATGCTACACATGTTTGCTACAAAATACACTTGCTAGGGATGAAAGTATTGCGAAGTCAAAAAGTAGAAATTTTTAACTAGTTTTAATCAAGCAAAGATTTGAGTATGAGATTTTTTTAAGAATAAATACACATACACAAACACAAACTTTTGCTGCTTTATTTACTTGAAATATGTGAAAATCTGAACATAGCTGGAATTATTAAAAGTTTATGCAGTTTTGATAGCTGATGGTGAAGAAGAAATTTTACATGTACAGTGCAACATAGTTTTATAAAAACTCGCCACAAGTTCAAGCTTTCTTTGCAAGTATATACAACAAACAGTTACTTAATCTAAACAATTAGCTATCAAAACTGCAAAAATGCTAGATTTGACATTACTGAAGAGATTTTAAAAGGGAAATGCCTAACGTACTAAAGAGCTCCAGAACAAAAACTTTGTTTCGAGTACTCAACAGAAAAAGATCAAAACTGTTTGGATTAATTGCATAACTAAATTTGAAAATTATACGGTATGTTCGCTAGGCATTTTCTTTAAACACATTTTCAAGCAGCATCAGTCGATGCTGCGTTTTATTGTATTAAATTAGCAAAATCTGTATGTTTATTTATATTTATGTCTATAACATGATATTAGTTACTGAACAAAGAAATTTCAGCACATTAAGACCTTGAGAGTAAAATTTGAAAGAAAATATAAAGCACATAAATAGACTTTTAGACTTTAAAACAATGTCTAACAAGTAAAGATGAAAATATGACTGGAATTCAGCGAAGAATTAAGCATCTTCCAATTTTCAGTAAGTTACAAAGATTTACATAGCAAAGTTAAAGACCAATTTTCTTTCTTCAAAGCACTGCAAACAGTCCATTCAAATACGTTACATCGTACGCTATGCAAAATTATTATTAATTCAAAATTTCTAAATTAAACACCCAAGGTTAAAGATTAGTCTAGATCCAATTAGATATTTGTTTGTGCTTCTTCTTGTACAGCCAACATCTCTCGTGACGTTACAGTTTCCTTTGTACACCGCAATTAACTAGACTCATATTGTATCAATACGAAATTGACCTTGATTTAATCTTAGACATGGAATTCCACTCGGTAATGACTTTTTGCGTCCGCCAAAGTTACATTAGACATAAAAACCTTCTCGTGTAACTCTAGCGGGCGCAGAAAGACGCAACTAATCAGCCCATTAATAATAGTTCCGTCATGATGGTCTCCTCAAGGACCTAATAATTGCATGCCTTTCTAATTAGTTATCTAGATTACGTCTGCTGGTTTTGAGGCCTCCCGGTCTATTTCAGAAAGATATTACACTTTGGCGCTAGCACTGACAGTTAGCCTTCTATTTGTTAATTCAACAATGTACAATAACCATTAGATGGCTCTTTGCAAGTCCTATGATTTTTCCATTTCAAAACATCGACAAAGAGCAATGCCTGTGTTCTGCTAAAAAGTTGCTTCATCGTAGAAATACCTTTATTCGGAACGGTATCTTAATCAAAGGACTGAGATAAGTGTCATAAACATGGATAAAATTGTAATATGTCACTTTGCAGTTCAAACAGTTCTTGTAAAACGTAAATCTGGCTTGGCATAAGCTAAAATATCTGGCCCTTGCTGAAGAAAAACGCATAGACATAAACCAGATGCTCACTTAAAAAATATTTAAAAAGGTTCCAAACATCATATTGATTCAGATCTAAAGCCTGCTATTATTATCTCGAGCAACAGGAAACCATTAGTTACATTCTATGCCTTTTTTGCATGGCACTTGAATTCAAGATCTATCAAGTTTATTTCTAGAGAATCTTGGTCGATTTTCTTTCACATTAAGTGCTACATGTTGCACAGCAGATTGTCAGATTATGATGCAAATCACAAAATCTTAACAGTGACACAGAAGCACATGTTAGAATCTTATGCTTTATTTGTGCCATAGTGATCAGAAATACAATAAGAAGTCTCAGTTCTGATTGAAAAAGGCTGGTTGCAACAGAGAAATCTACGTCAACATAATATGAAGCATTTGGTAGTTCACGTGTTCTTAAACTTTGCTTTGCTAGCTCTACTTATTTGAGCAAACTGAACTGAAAATGAAACTTTCAGAAAGACAGGTTCTACAATTCACAAAACTTACACAATAATGGAAGAAGTATTTTTTCCTGGCTTTCTTCTTCAATTCATTATTCATACAAAACCATTTTTGCTGCATTGAAAATAATCGGTATACAACTGATCCAAATGATAACTTATCTATGGCTCATGTTGCTTCGTAAAATTTTCTATGCACTCAAAAATGCTTCTTGCATATAGAGTAAGAAATTAAAGGCCCTACTCTTACATTTAAAATCATCCTATTTTATTGATTCTTTCAGAAACATATTTTAAAGACCCAAGGATTAAACTTGAAACAAATGATGTTACGATTTTTTAAACATTCATTTTATATTCATTACAAAGGTTTTCTTGAAATATCTAAGCTTGAACTGCTATAGAACGATTAAAATATGCTTTAAAAGTATCTTCACTGTTTGATCGAATATCTATTGTGACTGCAAGCATATTTTATCAATTCCCAATAACATTTGGATTGATTTTAAAGAGCAGAGAAGAGACAGACATCATAAGCAGGCAGGTTAGTTTTTCAAGAAGAACAACTGAAAGGGACATATTCTTAACTAATAACGCGTCCAATGCAGTGACAACAAAAACAGACAAAACGTCATGTGATTATGTGATTATTCTTTCGGTACTCTGTTTGTTTCCTTTTCCCAAATGAAACAGCTAGCAAGTCTCTATGTTTTAAATAAAGAGGTTTCAGCATTTCTTAAGTCAATCATCAGGTTCAAATTCAACCCTTTTTTCAGAGCAGAGTGAGAAAAACGTTCATTCTCTGCTTCGAGTTTTCATTCACAGAGTCATCAACATAGTATTAATTTGGGCCTTACTTCAAAACTGAAGGGTTCCACCAGTTATATCCTGATATCCAATTATGTAACTGATAACGAAGCCCCTTATAAAGACAAAAAATTGAAACAATTATCTTCACCATTTCAGTTCAATTGCTGCATTAACTTAGACCTTACAACCTTGAAAGCTCTCTCTCTCTTTCATTTAAGTACAACCAATTTATCATTCTGAATAAAGTCAAATCGCTGAGAAACGTGATATCGGTTTACTAAAGTTCAAATATTGTCCCTCACAACGAAGTAAAGGATATTCGTATATGCTATTTTGAAAAATATTTTACTTTTACTGGGCATGCTTTACCTTTCTCAGTAAAGCTTTTAGATGTGTCAAGAATCTTTTAAAACTAAAGAAATTTAACAGTACCACCGTCTCAAATCATGAAGATTTGTAAATAAGAATACTAAAAAGAAAGATTTGGTTGACAGTATACCTTTACATGATATGCATAACTATTCCTAGTTTTCTCAGGTCTAAGCTACTGAAAAACTTTGATTCCTTTTTATATAGTTTATGTTCAGTGTTCTTTAGAAAGGAAATAATAAAATGAAAAATTATAGATCGGAAACAGGCAAAAGTATCTTAGGAAACATCTAATTTAGGAAAGCAGAAATACTTCTATAATGAAGGCAATGCTGTCTTGTGAAAATAGAAATACTTTGATAAGAAAAGCAAATATATTTTCTTCTAGAGAAGTACAAGCGTAAAGGATGGTTTTATTTGATTGCAGCATGTGTTTCTTCTGGTACCAATAAAAGTTCCAAATACAATTACAAAGTCTCCGTGTCTGCTTTCAAATTATTTTGCAACATCAAAAAATCGACACGTTAATGATATAAGTGGTACATTTGTGTCATATCTGCATAGGCTTAAAACAAATACTATGAAGCCTTGAATAAAAAAAAGTTTAAGGAGCAGTGAAAAAAATCCATATAAGTTTTTTTCGTTGGTAAACTATCATGTTGGTGGATACAATATAAACAAAACTGTGGGTATATTTTGGAATAGTTTAGACTGTTATTTGTTACCGAAAATCCAAAGCACATTTTCAACTTACTTAGTTTTTGTAGCATCCACTCACCCTGAGTACACGCTGAGGCAAAAGTATAAACATCAGGCAACACTACCACCAACTGTGTCTCAACCATACACCATTGCTCTTGACCGCGTAATTGGAAGAAGCGTAAACTCGCTTTGAATCATGGGATTACATTCATGCATCATTTCCTTAACAGATATGCTGCATTTCCACATATCACATTGAGAATTTGCAATGTTGCAGGGATACGTGCCAGCTGAGTGACATTAAACTCGAAATTGTGAGCATGCTAGACAATTGCTTGTCTCGATTAAGGAGAATAGGATTTTCATAGAAGGAAATTGTTGCTGGTCTGCGAAAAGGCTATAGTCATAGAGTATTGTTAAAAACTGCATTTTTCAGAAATTTTCGCATAGAAGATTTTGCCTTAAATAAAGTTCAAATGCTGCAGAATGGTAACCAAAGGGTCAAGAAAAGTGTTAATCCTCCAATGGCCCATGACCAATGGCTCTTTTATTATCTTCCTAAATGGCAGAATTCGTAAGGCCTTGACTAAGAATAGACAAGGTGTCGCTTTAGAAAGTCTAGCATGAGGAAAATAATAGTTTGCTCTCCAGATGTACAATATTAAAGCTGTTAAGTTTGAAAGAAATTTTTGGCAGAAGGGAATGGAACTAAAACCCGCAAACACGAGCCCATCTACGCAGGTATCAGCAAACATGAGCCTTCAACGAACCGTAGTCGGCACAAGATTCAGTTGCAGTGACAGAGAAATTTACAAACATATTTTCCATAATAGGAGTATTGAGTTTGGTTTCAAAGCTTTGTAAATGCATTTGTATGCTACGGCTTCAAAGTCAATCACACTGGTAGTGCAGGAGTTCTGTGGAGTGAGAAGTCCAAAATATCTTGGAGAACAACGGGTATCCTATTTGCAAAAATGAATACCATACCGTCAGAGGTCATTTTACACCCTACCGTCAGAAGTCATTTTAGGCAACATCATGTAGACAAGATGTGGCCTATGTTTAATTAAAGACTATGCGCAATACAAGGTTAAAATTTCTTTAAAGGGCTTGGTTGTCATTGTTTATCAAGGAAGAGAAAATCCTCAATAAAAAAATAGGAAAGACAATGGGAAGCCTTCGTTGGAATTTTACTGATCAAGTCGAACTTTTAATCTCTTTCCTTTCCAATTACCTGTAGTGACAAAAGCAAACCCTTCAATAAAATACAACAGGCATTGTCATTTTGCATTATTATTCAGACATTTTTGCGTGTGGCCTATATGCAAATCTACCCTACTTTACTAAAGAAATCTAAT